AATGAAAGAAAGAGAGAGAGAAAAAAAGAAAGAAAGAAAGGAGAAAAAGGGAAGGTGTGTGAAGCAAATGGAGGACGGAAAGAAAAAAGCTACGAAGAGGCATAGTGAGAGCTGGAGAAGGGAGAAAGCAGGCCGCATCCCTCCCACATATAGGCTATGTAAAGAGGTTCAAGCTGTGTGGGTGGGATGTCATCAGGAAGAGGAGAGAGAGCAGGACTCGGGCTGGAGGGGGAAAAATAGGACTTGGGACCCATTGGGAACACAAAACGCTTCAGAGTCCTGGTTCTTACCCGGTCCCGGAGCAGGAAGATGCAGAAGTCGACTTCCTTCTGGCGCAGGGCCTGGAGCGGAGGGGAGCCGTGGTGGTCCACGATGAGCCGCAGGTAGGTGTACACCGACATGGCAATCAGCATGGCGCTCTTCAGCACCCATTCCCTGCGAGAGAGAGTTTCAGTCGCCCCAAAAGCACAGGCCTCTCAACTTGGGGGTCTTGCTGTACAGATTGAAACGTGGAGGTCGGTCCAAGTTTCTCCCTTCTCCAGCTCTGAGAAGGCCTCCCTCCACAGCAATGCCCTTAACAACTTGCTTCGTGGCTCTCTCTTTCCTTCCTTCTTCTCTTTCCCCCATTCATACTGTGCCTGGGGGAATCCTTTGTTGGGAGGTGATTAGTTGGCCCTGACTGTTTTTTGTCTGGAGCTCCCCTGCTTTTTTTTAGCGTTGTTCATTATTTACTGTTATGATTTTAGAGTTTTTTTTTCTAATATTGGTGGTGAATCACCTCCCAACAAAGGATCCCCCCAAGCAGTAAGAAGCCAGACCTTGAAACACCTAGGACATTAAATGCTAATTAAGGGGGTCAACTGGCTGCTTCGTGCCTGGGGGAATCCTTTGTAGGGAGGTGATTAGCTGGCCCTGACTGTTTCTTGTCTGGAGCTCCCTTGTTTTTTTAACTGTAGTTCTTTATCTACTGATATGCTTCCTGCCTGGGGGTATCCTTGGTTGGGAGGTGTTAGCTGGCCCTGATTGTTTCATGTTCCAGAACAGCCAGGCTTTGAAGCTGCAAGGCCATTTATTGCTAATCACAGTGGCCGACTGCAAGATTCACGCAATGGGGAATTCCAGACAGGAAACAATCAGGGCCAGCTAACACATTCGAAAGGAGGATTCCCCCAGGCAGCACGCAGCCAGACTTTGAAGCCGCAAGGCCATTCAGTGCTAATCACGGTGGCCGACTGCAACATTCACGCAACGGGGAATTCCAGACAGGAAACACTCAGGGCCAGCTAACACCTTCCAAAGAAGGATTCCCCCAGGCAGGACGCAGCCAGGCTTTGAAGCCGCAAGGCCATTCAGTGCTAATCACGGTGGCCGACTGCAAGATTCACGCAATGGGGAATTCCAGACAGGAAACAATCAGGGCCAGCTAACACATTCGAAAGGAGGATTCCCCCAGGCAGCACGCAGCCAGACTTTGAAGCCGCAAGGCCATTCAGTGCTAATCACGGTGGCCGACTGCAACATTCACGCAACGGGGAATTCCAGACAGGAAACACTCAGGGCCAGCTAACACCTTCCAAAGAAGGATTCCCCCAGGCAGGACGCAGCCAGGCTTTGAAGCCGCAAGGCCATTCAGTGCTAATCACGGTGGCCGACTGCAACATTCACGCAACGGGGAATTCCAGACAGGAAACAACCAGGGCTGGCTAACACCTTCCAAAGAAGGATGCCCCCAGGCTGGACGCACCTGGCTTTGAAGCCGCAAGGCCATTCAGTGCTCATCACGGTGGCCAACTGCAACATTCACGCAACAGGGAATTCCACATGGGAAACAATCAGGGCCAGCTAACACCTCCCAAAGAAGGATCCCCCCAGGCAGGACACAGCCAGGCTTTGAAGCTGCAAGGCCATTCAGTGCTAATCACGGTGGCCAACTGCAACATTCACGCAACAGGGAATTCCAGATGGGAAACAATCAGGGCCAGCTAACACCTTCCAAAGAAGGATTCCCCCAGGCAGGGCGCAGCCAGGCTTTGAAGCCGCAAGGCCATTCAGTGCTAATCATGGTGGCCGACTGCAACATTCACGCAACGGGGAATTCCAGACAGGAAACAATCAGGACGAGCTCTGAAGGATTCCCCCAAGGCAAGACGCAGCCAGGCTTTGAAGCTGCAAGGCCATTCAGTGCTTCACATTCACAGCTGCCTCCAGCAGACAAGAGTTCTTTCTCCCACCCTGGACATCATTCCACAGATATATAAACCCCAGTTTAGTTTCCAAGAGACCTCCCAAACTCTGAGGGTGTGGGTGAAACATCAGGAGAGAATGCTTCAGGGAAATGGCTATACAGCCCGGAAAACTCACAGCAACCCAGTGATTCCAGCCATGAAAACCTTCGACAATAGATTGCATAAAGCTTCTGGAAAATCCGGAAAACGGGTGCAAAGTGTTCCTGAGGAAAAGCATTAGGGGGCGCTGTGGGGCAGCGGAGTTGCGTCCCTTCATGACCAAAACATTGACACAACTCCATTGTGTGTCACAGCCATAAAAAGCCCATTTCAAGAAGGAAATTATAAGCCACAATTGGAAAGGACACGTTGCAAACAAAGGTTCGAGGCAGGATTATAGGGGCACGCAACAGCAGCACTAATTCTTTTAAAACACATATATGTATATATATGCACACAGTCATCCTTCCACATTTATGGCTTTGCTTTTTTGCAGATCCAATTACTCATGGGTTTGATTAAATCTAGGAATATATTGGGGTCCCATTCAGTGGTGCAGCAGGAAGCTGGGAAGCAGCCTGCTCTAGGAATCTCTAGGTCCTTTGACATAATTCAATGGTGAACCACTGTATAGACTACTGCAACGCACTCTACGTGGGGTTGCCCTTGAAGACTGTTCGGAAACTTCAACTGGTCCAGCGAACGGCAGCCAGATTGCTCACCGGAGCGATATACAGGGAGCACACCACCCCCCTGTTGTGTCAGCTCCACTGGCTGCCGATTCAGTTCTGAGCACAATTCAAGGTGCTGGTTTTGACCTACAAAACCCTTTACAGTTCCGGTCCAGCGTATCTGTCCAAACGTATCTCCCTCTACGTCCCACCCCAGAATCTGAGATCATCTGGGGAGGCCCTGCTCTCGACCCCACCGCTATCACAAGTGAGGCTGGTGGGGACGAGGAGCAGGGCCTTCTCAGTGGTGGCCCCTCACCTGTGGAACTCACTCCCGGGGGAAATCAGGGCATCAACATCCCTCCTTGCCTTCAGGAGGAAGGTAAAGACGTGGTTGTGGGACCAGGCCTTTGGGCACCCTGACAATTAGATATGGAAACCAGATGGATAGGACCGACAATTTGTGGAAATTGGAACTTAAACTATGAGTCTGTGAAACGCTGACCATCAATGAGGTTTGTATTGATTTTATTGCTTTTATTGGTTTTATGGTTGTTTTTGCCGTTTATAATCATTGTTTCCTGTTAATTGTTACTGCTAAAACTGCTGTTTGTTAACTGTTGTTATTGTTCTTTGCTGTTATGTGATGCGGGCATCGAATTATGCCTTGCTTTTGTAAGCCGCCCTGAGTCCCCCCCGGGGTGAGAAGGGCGGGGTAGAAGCAACCGAAATAAATAAATAAATAAATAAAAACTTCCCCCGGCCATGACGAAGGACCAAGAGATGTCCTAGGGAGGTTCTCCAATGCAATTCTAGGGTCAGCATCCCACCCTGCCGCGTACCTTTGCTCGCTGAGCATGTCTAAGATGTTCTCCGCAAGCCAGATGTTCTTTGCCGTCACGTCTCCGCCTGCACAAGCAAAAAGAGAAGGGAGTATTTAAAGGGAGGAACAATGGGGTCATTGCCAGAAGGGACAGAGACTTTCCTCCATGCTGATGATTGTGTCATCACCGCCCAAGCAGGGAGCTTTGAAATCATTTCAAAGCTCCCTGCTTGAGTGGTGATGGCAATGTCGTCAGCATAGAGGAAAATAATAATAATAGTAAAGCTTCAGAGGGCTTCTGTTCAATCATTTCAAAGCTCTCTGAGCGGTGATGGCAATGTCGTCAGCATAGAGGAAAATAATAATAATAATAATAATAATAATATAAACTAAAGCTTCAGAGAACTTCTATTCAATCATTTCAAAGCTCTCTGAGCGGTGATGGCAATGTCGTCAGCATAGAGGAAAATAATAATAATAGTAATATAACCTAAAACTTCAGAGAACTTCTATTCAATCATTTAAAACCTCTCTGAGTGGTGATGGCAATGTCGTCAGCATAGAGGAAAATAATAATAATAATAATAATAATAATAGTAATATAAACTAAAGCTTCAGAGAACTTCTATTCAATCATTTCAAAGCTCTCTGAGCAGTGATGGCAATGTCGTCAGCATAGAGGAAAATAATAATAATAATAATAATAATAATAATAATAGTAATATAAACTAAAGCTTCGGAGAGCTTCTGTCCAATCGTTTTAAAGCTCCTTACTTGAGCGGTGATGGCACAATCGTCAGCATAGAGGAATTTATGTCACTATTCTCAAAGGACATTTAGTATAATGCCAAGTTTTTAACTTTGTTTGTGTTGTTAAACACATTACAACTGTGCCCTCAATTAGCATCTGACACGATAAATAGCATTACAGTTCATTCCAAAGCGTTGAGCGTTGATCGCACGATCGTTGGCATAGAGTATTTGTGTAAATGTTCTGCTCAAGGGGACATTTAGTATCATGCCACATTTTTAACTTTGTGTTGTTAGACTCATTACAACGGTGCCCTCAATTAGCTTCTGACACTAATTGAGTTCATTCCAAAGCTCTCTGTTTGAGCGTTGATGGCAGGATCGTCGGCATAGGGTATTTGTGTCAATGTTCTGCTCAAGGGACATTTGTCAAGTTTTTAATGTTGTTTGTGTTGTTAGACACATTACAACTGTGCCCTCAATTACCTTCTGACATGATCAATAGCATTACAGTTCATTCCAAAGCTCTGTTTGAGCGTTGATGGCATGATCGTCAGCATAGAGGAATTTATGTCACTATTCTCAAAGGACATTTAGTATAATGCTAAGTTTTTAACTTTGTGTCGTTAGACACATTGCAATGGTGCCCTCAATTAGCTTCTAACACTAATTGAGTTCATTCCAAAGCTCTCTGTTTGAGCGCTGATGGCACGATCGTCAGCATAGAGGAATTTGTCACTATTCTTAAAGGACATTTAGTATAATGCCAAGTTTTTAACTTTGTTTGTGTCGTTAGTCACATTACAACTGTGCCCTCAATTAGCATCTGACACGATAAATAGCATTACAGTTCATTCCAAAGCTTTCTGTTTGAGCGTTGATGGCACAATCGTCAGCATAGAGGAATTTATGTCACTATTCTCAAAGGATATTTAGTATAATGCTAAGTTTTTAACTTTGTTTGTGTCGTTAGACGCATTACAACTGTGCCCTCAATTAGCTTCTGACATGATAAATAGAATAACAGTTCATTCCAAAGCTCTCTGTTTGAGCGTTGATGGCACGATCGTTGGCATAGAGTATTTGTGTAAATGTTCTGCTCAAGGGGACATTTAGTATCATGCCACATTTTTAACTTTGTGTTGTTAGACTTATTGCAATGGTGCCCTCAATTAGCTTCTAACACTAATTGAGTTCATTCCAAAGCTCTCTGTTTGAGCGTTGATGGCACGATCGTCAGCATAGAGGAATTTATGTCACTATTCTCAAAGGACATTTAGTATAATGCCAAGTTTTTAACTTTCTTTGTGTTGTTAGACACATTACAACTGTGCCCTCAATTAGCATTTGACACGATCAATAGAGTAACAGTTCATTCCAAAGCTCTCTGTTTGAGCGTTGATGGCAGGATCGTCAGCATAGAGTATTTGTGTCAATGTTCTGCTCAAGGGACATTTGTCAAGTTTTTAACTTTGTGTAGTTAGACACATTACAACTGTGCCCTCAATTAGCTTCTGACACAATAAATAGCATTACAGTTCATTCCTAAACTCTCTGTTTGAGCGTTGATGGCAGGATCGTCAGCATAGAGTATTTGTGTCAATGTTCTGCTCAAAGTTTTTAACTTGGTGGGTTTTTTTAAAAATACAACTGCATTCTCAATTTGCTTCTGACACGACTAAATAAGTAAATATGGTTGCGTAAAGAGGAGCGAGGAGGCTCTGAAAGCCATCCGCAAGTCGTCGTAAAACCAATCTGGGGAAGGAAGGAGCGAAGGAATGAAGTCAGAGAAGGGGGTCCAGGGAGGAAGGAGGGCGATTGGCTCACCGGGGCTCGGCCCCAGGAATGTATCCCTTGGGCGGGCGCCACGGATAACCTCTTGCTCATTCCCTGGCAAGAGGAAGGGGAGGAAATGTCAGTGGGGGACTCGAGGGGTGCATTCCTTCCACTGGAGAACATCATCACTCAAGGAAACGGCCAAAAGCTCCCGGCCCTGTTTCTACCTGATTTGGAAGCGGGAGAAGAAGAGCCCAAGGAAGGAAGGAAGGAAGGAAGGAAGGAAGGAAGGAAGGAAGGAAGGAAGGGAGGAAGGAAGGGAGGGAGGGTGGTTTGCAGATCAAGCAGAATCAAACTGCGTTAAGTCTACAATGTAGATGCATCCTCCCCCCCCCCCCCCCCCCCCCCCCCCCCCCCCCCCCCCCACCCCCCCCCCCCCCCCCCCCCCCCCCCCCCCCCCCCCCCCCCCCCCCCCCCCCCCCCCCCCCCCCCCTCCCCCCCACCCCCCCCCCCCCCCCCCCCCCCCCCCCCCCCCCCCCCCCACCCCCCCCCCCCCCCCCCACCAACAGAAAATTAAAACATTTCTAACTTTATAGTTAGCTTCCCAGCTCCGGTGGGAAGGTAACGGCGCTCCATGCAGTCCACATGACCTTGGAGGTGTCTACAGACAACGCTAGCTCTTCGGTTTACAAATGGAGATGAGCACTGAGTCCCAGAGTCGGACCCACCTGGACTTAATGTCAGGGGAAAACCTTTACCCTTTACCTAATATAATAATATAATATAATATAATATAATATAATATAATATAACATAACATATAATATAATATAATATAATATAATATAATATAATATAAATGAGATATATATATGATATATTATATTATTATAATGTATTATATTATTATAATATAATATATAATATTATCTATATAAATATAACGTCAGGGGAAAACCTTTACCCTTTACTTAATATAATATTATATATATATATATATGATATAATATGTTGTATTATAATATATTATATCATTATAATATAATATATAATATTATTATTATATAATATATAATATTATCTATATAAATATAACATCAGGGGAAAACCTTTACCCTTTACCTAATATTATAATATAATATAATATAATATAATATAATATAAATGAGATATATATATGATATATTATATTATTATAATGTATTATATTATTATAATATAATATATAATATTATCTATATAAATATAACGTCAGGGGAAAACCTTTACCCTTTACTTAATATAATATTATATATATATATATATGATATAATATGTTGTATTATAATATATTATATCATTATAATATAATATATAATATTATTATTATATAATATATAATATTATCTATATAAATATAACGTCAGGGGAAAACCTTTACCCTTTACCTAATATAATATAATATAATATAATATATATATATATAATATTATTATTATATAATATATAATATTATCTATATAAATATAACATCAGAGGAAAACCTTTACCCTTTACCTAATATAATATAATATAATATATGATATAATATATTACATTAAATAATATATTA